TCTGCTCGAAAGCTTATCACAGGCATCCGACCAGTTACCCGACCTCCTCTCTTTTACGCTTCACCGCCCGCACATGCCCCTTTCGTGCATTATTTGAATCTCCATCCGTTGGTCCTCCTGAGATCATGTAAATCGTGCCCCTCTTCACAGGCACCTCCTCCTCAGCTCCTCTCGACCATCGTTTTGTCGTTTCTTTCTTTCTCTCCTAGCATCGTCTTCTCCATCGTCGTCCCTATCACTCCTCGCCACAGAATTTTCCCTGCATCTTCTCCTTTCTTTACCCCGTGGTCGATCGCGAATGACAAATTCTTTCAAGTGACCTGCCCGTATGAGACGCTCGATCTCGTCTTTAAAGTGCCTACAATCTTTTGTATTATGTCCGTAATCCCTATGAAATCTGCAGTATTTATTCGACCTAGGTTTGGTCGGTCCCTCGAACTTGGTCGCTGGCCATGTGACTTCCTTGCTTTCCAACTTCTCCTCTATGGCCGCCAAGACTTCGCCCATCTGGGCGTTGATAGGAGTAAAATGATTATATCTTTGACCTTTTGGTAGCCGAGGTCGCCCTTGCCAGCGATCTTCTCGCCTCTCTCGGAACGAATTTTGCCCATCCCTCCTGGGCGACGGCCTCTTAAAAGATCCTCCTCTTGAAGAATTTTTCTTAGGCGATCCCCTCCTGGGCGAGCTCGTCTTTTCTTTTTTCTGCTCAGGTTTCACAACGTCCTCGAGCTTGGCAAACTCTGCTTTCGTTTCTTCCAAGTTAATGTACTTCTTGCATCTTTTGAGCACCTCATCGTAAGTTCGAGCAGGCGTCTTTGCCAGCGACGTTCGACATGGTCCTGGCCGTAGACTTCTAATCAATCCTCCTGCTTTCACCTCGTCACCCGCCGTGGGCACCTCCAGACACACCTGATTATATCGAGCAACATATTTCCGTAAGGATTCTTTCTCGCCTTGTCTCATTGCCATCAGTGTAAGGTATGTCTTCTCCTGGGCGACCGCACTTGAGTATTGATTAGTAAGTTGTCCTGCGAAATCCTCAAAGTCTCTGATCGAACCTGGAGCCAATTGGTGGAACCAGTCAAGCGCACCTCCTCGTAAGGTCAACAAGAAGGCCCTGCAGCTGACCGGATCTGAGTATCCATGTAAGAAGGATATGTTTTCGAATGCTCACACGTGCCTCGACGGGTCGCTCGATCCATCGAAAATCAGGTTTATCTCCCGGAAACTTGCAGGTAACGGCGCAACAAAGATTTCCCTCGAGAATGGGTGTCCTCGAGCACGTCTTTCTGGCCTCCCTTCCACCTTCTCCTGCAATTGCCTAAGCTGTTCGTCCATCCTCTCCATAGCTCTGTCTCTG